ATACTTAACATAACTCCAACCAAGCTATGCATGTGAGAAACCATTGACCCATCAACTACTCACACGTATATACAAATTTTCTATAAGAATTTTAAAAAATATATATTTTTTCCATAAATTATTAAAATTCTCATAACTTTTTATTTTCTTATTCTTAGAACTTTTCTGTGAAAACCAGTTCAAATATATATGTTTTGTACATATATAAGTACAAGACAAACATAATTAATGAGGCTTAAGGGAGTTGACGGGTAAGATTCTTTTTGTTTTGAGCTTTTGCATTTTGCATGAAGGATTAGATTCACAGTATTGTTGTAATATTATAAGGGACAACAGACTTGACAGCAGCGCACAAACAAACAAAAAGTATGATAAAAAAATCTGGTTGGATTTTCAGAAGGAATAATGCTATATGGTGGATCAGTGCGGCACAAGCATAGCCGCAGAAATTTAAAATGAAACGACAAACGAATGAGTCGAATGGATAATATAAAACATGCGTTTAAATTCTATAACAAAGAATATGATTTTCTCTTTCTCATTTTTTCAGTGTTGTTATTTATAAAAGATTTTCGTGCTATGATTGTTTCTGAGAATTTAAGTAAAGATCGAAAGACTCATCCGTCACTGTACGTATATGAGTGATCTGACGAGTTTTATACACATGGCGAGCAGAATAACATGAATTAGGTATGAACTCTAAATAAGGTGACTCCCTGCAGGATAAGCTTTGAATAAATGGAGAGTTACACCGCTCGAATCTATTGCATAAAAGAAGATATGTTATACATCTTCTTCATGCATGTTCATATCAGAAACTTTCTGATATAAATGAATGATATAATATCCCATGTTTTGGATAAATATTCATTGGGAGATACAAGGCTATAGGTTAAAGGGATTGACAAGCTTACGTGAACCTCTGGAAGACCTTCGAAGGACTATGGTACTCGTTTGAGTTGGTCATCACGACAAACAAGATATGAATCCAATCATGTCAGGAACACCATTCTTTATCCAAAATCTTAAGGGTATAGGTTTAAGGGATTGACATGCTTACGTGGAACTCTTCACCAAGAAAATCTTTCAACCATTGTACTCGTTTGAGCCGGTCATCAAGACAAACCACATACCACCGTTGGATCTATTAAAGAGGAGGTTCACTGGGAGATACAAACACCAATGAGATATAAGTCCAACTATATAAGGGATTTAAGAATATGAATTAATCGATCTTTCACTTTTATACAGTACTCTATTTTTTCATTTCTACTTAACGTGGAATTTAGAGTCAGATTTGAATTCTCAAAGAAATTCCCTCTTTAGATGACATCAATGCTTATACACACTTTCACTGTCATCAACCATATCATTTTCATCACTAACAAGTGCAGAACAATTGATGAATAACTCTTTCTTAAGTATGTTGTGAGGGTTTTGATTCCTAACTAATTAAGCATATTAACAAGGGTTCAATCTCTAAACATGTATAAAAACTTCCATGGTCTCTGATAAAACAGAAATTAGATATAAGTTTTACTCTTAGCTATTAACAGTGGCACGAGTAGAGTCGCTATTTTGATCACAGAAATCATGGTTCCATTTTAGGCTTTGGTCAGTAACATCGGTGGTCCTAAAATTATTACCAAATTTATGCAATTATTGGTGGCAAGTTAGCCCACTGAATTATGGTTCTTCTCATGTAATCAACCTAACTAACTTTATTTTCCGCTGCTTAATAATGATCTGAATAGGCCCTTCAAAATCAGATCACTGGTCCCAAGAGAAGAAGAACAGCTTTTCAACCCTTTCCATTTCACCATCACTTTCCTTTCAATGTCAAAACCATCACATTAAAGCCTGAAAGCTACCTTTGTAGATGGGTTTAACGGTCCGGTATAGCAATGTATACTGATATATATACTCAAGATATACAAATTCATAGCAAGTAACACATGTGCAAATATAAATGTAATACTGTTTCCATAATTAGACTTAACTTAAATTTTGTTGAACATAATCAAATTATCATACTATTCACAGAAATGCTCTTCTGTAAATTCACATTCCAGATTTCAGCCTGTAAACTATTTATTAATATAAAAAAGTTAATGTCCAAATTCTAAGAAACGAGTCGCTGGAGAAGGGAGTTCAAACTATCAACAGAAGATGCACGTTCCATGTTTCATTTTGCACATCCTCTTCCATATATTTACACACCTACTCTGACTCTGACTTCGACTTTCTTTTCGGCAAATTTAATCAATTCAGGGTTCTGATGAGCTCATGAGTAATTACAGTGTCGCGATTATAGAAGAAGTCCATATTTATTTTCATGTCAAATTGCATCAAAATTATAGGCCAAAGAATATCCAGTTGAAGCAACATTTATATATAAAATACAAAGATTAAAGTTGTGGGAAAATATAATAGTATATAGCAATCGATACTTCTTTTTCATTGATGCTAGGATATTGTCACACTGGCGTCATATTAATGGAGACCTATAAAAGCAACTTCAAAATAAATTTTTGAGAAGTGTGTAATTAATTGCATGCGCACTTTGTTAGAGGAAAAGGAGAATTGCATATATGTTTTTTACTAGAATCACCAGATGCTTTGTCTCTGTGGAAGAGAAAAAAGGAAAATAAATGGTTTTTTATGGAGAGAGCAGAGCAGTATTATTGGAACTTTGAACAGCTTGGAAAAATCTGGCAATGTCCAGTCAAGTCGTCAATTTGTTATTTGTCACATTCTTTTGTCAAGTAATTTTAAAGAGAATTATGATTGTAATGAAAGTATAGTTTTGTAACTTACTTTTATATATGCATTTCCTTTTCATCCTTATATTATATTCCCACACTTTTTTGTGACAGATTTTTTCTCTAAACAACAACAATAAGGTGAGGTGCCCAATCAGTCCACAACTTTTAACAAAATAGATATATTGAGAATTCACACTTTTGTTGGAGATGATTATATTAAATTATATGTTATGGTAATATATATGAGAGCAGTATAATGAAATTGAGATAAGGACTCTACATAAACATGGGAAAAGTTGTGAGAGATTTGATAAAATTTGTTTTGTGAGTTAGGATGGTGACTGAAGCTTGCTCAACAAAGGCTATTTGGCGCAAAGCACATGGCCATTGTGGGAGGAAATCTTGACATTTTGCACTGAAAATTATTGATAATTGGATTAGCAAATGTAGCTTTACCTTGCCATGTGCTTTCAGTTTCTCTCAATTTTCTATTCCTTATTTTTTTTTTCTCTAACAACCCAAGGAACAAAAGAAACGAGGAAGGTTAGCCAAGTAAAAAAAAAACACTCTCCACATTAACTGCATGCTGTAAAAACTAAGACTTACTTATTAATGAACTTATAAGTTCAATATTTTACTTTTTAAAATTAAATGAATAAGTATATATTGACACCGATTATTGCCATGAAGTCAAAATAATATGAATGGATTTTTATTATTTAACAATTTTTGTTATATATGGTGAAATAAAAAAAAATTAATTATATCAACAAACGTGCAAGATTATTGTTTTTTATTTCAAAATAAATATATTAAATGATATTTTTGAGGAATACATGAATCAATTAAAGTAATTATTTCAATTTATTTAATAATTTTGAGTTTAAATATGGAAGATGAAATTGTTGTTATTTCTTTTATAAGTATATCAAATCGTAAAGTAAAATGAGAAGCTTATATATATATCATTTTCCAAAGAATTTGTGTGTTTGCTCAATGTGAATTCTTTTTAATTTGGACTTAAAATTTAAAATCATTGGCTCATATAAGTTTAAAGAGTGGTGATACTTATGGGTTTATTCAAAGTTACCAACTTAAAATTATATTACTTAATAAGAAAAAAGATGTATCTGGGTTAGATTTTATGAACTCAATTCAATACAGTTTTTCTTGCCATGATATATTCAACGCAACTTAATATCGTTCACACAATAAATTCATATTCTAATTCCTTAAAAGAAAAGTTAAAAGTCTTAACATGAAAATGTTAATCCCTTAGTTTTTTTTGCAATATATGTTATATGACTTTTATATTCTTTCTTGATGTTTCATAGTTATGAAAATAAAGAATGTTATATGACATTTTTATAACATTTACACGGTGATTTGTTATTAGTTCATTTCAAATATTTTTTTAAAAGTAAATTCAAACAGATGAAAACACCTAATCTATTGTCATTGTTATGAAAAATTATTAATATATCACAGTTCATAAAAAAAACAAAAAAACCCAAGAAGTGGAAAGTCATTATGGAGTTTCTCCTCATGCAACAACTCTCCCAAGTTTCTAGATCCTTTCTCCCTCCAAAAATTCATTCCAACGCGTTCAGGTTTCACCTTTTAAATCACTCCAAAAAAACTGACTTCGGATTGAGCGAATGACACCTTTTAAACACAGTTAACTTTTTATCATTCAGCAAATAATAATCTTCTAATTCGACAAGTCTTCGGATCACTACACGAAAGAATTCCAAACTAACTTCCTCTCCTTAACTTTCACATTTTTATAAATGAGAATCACTTTTATCATTACAAGAAATTGTTTAAACCATAAAAAAACAGTAGTACTTTGTACACGTTTGAAGAGAATGATAGTTGGGCTTTTGTGGCCAGGATATTCCAAATTAATCATATTGAAATACTGCGGTCTAACTCATCGTTAAAGTGGAAGACATTTCTTGTAAAATAATTAATAAGAAAAAATTATTGATGCATTAGTATAAAATATTGAAGTGGGACAACAGGGCAAACAATAAAAAATCAGAAAGGAGTAAGAAGTTAGTAAAAATGCAATAGAAGATTATAATATAGAGATACTATAACTGTTAAGGGTAGCCACCTCTTTGTCCCACTTATTTTACATTTTGGGTAGTTTGATTTATGGGTGGTAGAATTAAAATATTAAATGCTAGAAAAGGGCAGAGCAAAGGTCCCTCCGACCAGCCTTGTCACATTTTCCACTGCCCATGTCCCTTAGAACATGGAGGAAATTATGGCATTTCACCATCTTAAACTTAAACACACACTCTCTCTCTCTCTCTCTCTCTCTCTCTCTCTCTCTCTCAAACACCATAAAGCCCCTCGTTTCACAACAAAACCCACTTCCTAGTCCTTCAGCCAACAAAACCATGCTACACGCTAGTAAATAAACAAGACCACCTCAATCATTGTGCTCCATACACTTTACCCTTCTTGCATGTCTTAAGGAGAAAGAAAGATTCTCATCCTTACAAAAAGCAACGAGTTCGGAAAAGAGGTATTATAAAGAGATGGAGATTGAGTCAGTGAAGTGCGAGTGTTGTGGCTTGAAGGAGGATTGCACCCAAGACTACATCACCCAAGTAAAGTCCAAGTTTGATGGAAAATGGTTATGTGGGTTGTGCTCTGAAGCAGTGAGAGATGAAGTGAGCTACGGAGAGAAAAAGGCATCACCGGCTATGGATGAAGCTGTGAAGGCTCACATGTCATTCTGCCGCAAGTTCAAATCAAACCCTGCGGTTAGAGTGGCTGATGGGATGAGACAGATGCTGAGGAGAAGGTCTGGTGACTTGTCACAATCCTCATCTTCGTCATCAAAGAAGTATACAAGGTCAACCACCACTTCTCAAGTCGGAGATTCTTCGAGTTTCCGTTTCTACTGACTCGTGCAGGGTGGGAACAGAGCAGAGGGAGAAGCAGAGGATACTCTGCTTTTTGTTGGAATAAAAGTTTATAGGTTTAGCCTTATGGGATAAGTTCTTTCTTCTTGTCATGTACAGGAAGTGTTATTTCATATTAAGGGTCTTTTCTTCTGCTTTCTTTTTCTTTTTTTTTCTCCAACTGATCTCTAGTTTATAGTTTGGTATTCCTAATCCTCTTTCTCATCTCTTTGTTCACTTCATTGGCAAAATAGTAACCTAGTTCCAAGAAAAATAAAAAAGATGACCTCAAACTTTTATCTCCTCCAAAACTTTGACTCGGTTCTGCGTATAAATGCACAAACCAAAAACCTGTTTTGATGCTTCTGATTAGGATGAGAGGTAAATTGGTGTTTTGGGTACCAGCAAACTTCTTTGATTAATTATTAGCATCAGTTTTTTAAGGACTTGAAATTCTTACGAAAAAGTGGAAGGTTGGATTTTTCTTAAGCCTTATCTTCCACTCACATTAGTTTTTGCATTTCTAATGGATATATTTTGTGTGAACTCTGGTATTTCAGAATTATTTGAAACTTTAACTGAATTAAAGTTGCGATGAATGGAACAATTAAGGATTAAATTCGATAAGTTTGGTAAGAGAACAAGAATTCAAGACATTTCATGAAACCAACATGAAAGTAAATTAAATCTTTATAGTATTCTATAATCATTAAGAAAAAAAGAAAACAGAAGGAAGAATATCTCTTTAAACTTCACATGTCCGTGTTTTTTTCACAGATTTATGTCATCATGTTTCTTGTACTTTGAATATCTCTTTCTTTTCGATCCCTATCTCCAGTACCGTCTTCCTCTGGATGCATAATAAGATATTAATATCCAAGCATCGTTTTCCTTACATCTCCATATTTTTTTTCTATGCACATTTTTCTTGCCAGAAGATACTACATAACCCATTTTGCAAGTCAAGCAACACAAAGCTTTGACATTGCCCTGAAGGAAATAAATTGTTAGGTTTAAGAAACAATTTTAGACCACTCTATTCACCCTAATACCTATGCATTTGTCGCATTTGACATGGTCTCAAACAATCAATAATATCCCCAAGCAAAAGAATAATAAAAATTATGTTTATACTAAAACACTGACGCTCAAGTCAAAATTTTTCTTTCGAGATCTAAAGTAATATGATTATCAAAGTGTAAACTTTACCTCAAAATTAAATCTTTATTTATATAGTTTATAAGAATCTGACCAATTAATTTATCTTTTAATGGTCATTAATATTTGTCTTAACCAGTTATCAGTCACCGTTGTAATATTAATTATGATTTAACTCCGTTTAATTGTTGTTGGAACCGAGCGACTGCAAAGCTCCCTACTGCGCATCTACCGCTTGGTCCTTTTAAGCCGGTACGTCACCATATCCGATCAATTGGCTATAAATTTATCGTAAAAAATAATAATAATAATCAACAACCGTACGAAAATTTGATGAAACCATATCTATGGTCAACTTCCCTCAATTTCCATATACTTAAACATGAGAACACATGATATAGCATAATATCAGATGATCTTATCGAATCCCACATCGGTAGCTAATATGACGTAGTGTTAAACTTTTCCTTTTTCAACTTGGTTATGTGGTTACATAGTTTTCTTGTGGTTGAGGTAATGAAGCTATTAAAGTCAGAGCAGATGAAGGACCATGAAGTAGCCAAGACACTCGATTGGTTGTGCTTAAATATGGCGTATCAATAATGTTCATGTTCATTAAGGTACTTGATTATAATTAAGTTAGGTGTGTTGAATTATGAAATCATCATTAATGTGTTGCCACTAATTTTAGTTCCATTAGAGATCATTTCCAAAATGCCTTCTGTTTGTATTTAATTATGTTATTGTTCAGTACTCCCTCAATGGATATTTTGCTATGATTTGTTAGTTAATTCCAAGAAAATCTCTTCTAAGTCTAACATTGTCTTCCACCCCTCTTTTCATTAGTGCACATCTGGAGCATTCTCCCTCTGTAACTGCTCAATCAATTACCTACATCTACAAAATAACAAAATAATTAATTATTGCATATAGATTAGTTATCTACTAACTGAAAAACATAATAATTAAAAATAACAATAGAGTTGCTGTCTGACTCTTAACAAAATCAATAGTCGTGAAATATTTGTTTAAAAATATATCTATAAATATTTTACAACTTATGGATATTTGTGATATCTGTATAGTTAAAAAATTATTTTATAAAATTTTAAAAGATATGAAAAAATATAATATAAATTATAAATTTAATTTTAATTAACTTTAATTTAATAAAATATAAATTAACTTATTTTAATTAAGTTTTTATTAATTTATTTTTTAGTATATTGGGTATTAACTACATTTTTTACCTGAGTTATTGTTGTTTAATTTCTCAGTTAGTTATATTACCTAATTATTGTGTATCAATATATTAAGAAATGTAATATTATGTTTTTAATATAAAAGTAATAATGTTTAATTTAAATGAATGAGTAACTTTCATTCATTTCATTAATAAAAACGAATATCATTTATATTATCAAATAAAGTGTCTTAAGTATTGTTTTTCTCATTATAAGTGATCACCATTATTAAAGAGACCGAACATTTTATTTAATTTATTTTCAGTGAAAGTAATATAAAATAATTATTTTTTATATCAAACTACAGTATCATTTTTATATTAATAATAAAACTTTCCGTCTTGACATGTTGCGACAAGAAAATAAAATGGTAAAGTAAAATAATAATTATATCACCTAATTAATGGAAAAGTAAATAATAAACATTAATTAAAAATATATAAAAATTTAAAATTCAATAAACTAAAAAAAATTTAAAAAAACTTGATTAAGAATATAATTTTTTTTGAATGATTTTAAAATTTAATTAAGTTATTTTTTTATGGTTATATAATTATTTGCAATGTAATTCTTGATCAAATATTTGCATTGTATTTGTCACCAAAGCAGCGAGAGAGATATGAGAGATATAGAGTGTCTATTTGGACTAGCATCAACAAAATTAATTTAAAATGAAACTGATTTTGAAGTAGTGTGACTTATAGTTGAATGTTATTATCATGAAACGATTTAACAACGAAATTGAGTACAAATTCTTTTACTGAATACAAAAATTATTTAAATTAATTAAATTTATAACCTCGACATGTGCAAAAAATGACGTTATTTCATATGTGAATATAGTTTTAGAGAATCCAAGGTGAAACAAAAATGGTATGGAATGATAGATGTTTCAATAGTGGAGGACATAGCATTTGAAATTTATGTTTGAGAAGGCAGAAGAAGCATTGCATTGAAAAAACTTCGAAACTTATTCGTTCCTCAATCTGTTGGAAAAAGCGATACTTTCCCACCGCAGGATTCGTGTCTTCGTTGCTTTAGCCCAACATTCACCAACCCTTCCATACTCAACTTTCCTTCAATTCATACATGTTGAAAAAATTAAAAAAGTTGCTTCATTTTCCGCATATATAGGAAATAATAAATTTTATTATATAAATAAAAGTTTAGTATTTCCGAAAAAATATTATGTAATAATGATTTTTATATTTAAAAAAAGTAATTAAATTTCTGTTAAGTATTTTAGCTCTTTTATTCATTTCTTAAAAGTGTTTTTTTTCTTATTTGAAGAAGTCATCTTGTTTTAACTAGTTGTCTAAATATTATTAATCAAATTTATTTTTCGTTTACTTATAATTACTTAAAATATTTTTATACGTATTTTGTATATGAAAATTTTACACAATATATTATATAATAAATTAGTAATTAGTCCGTTAATTTAATTTTTAATTCAAACTACATAATAATTAAAAAATAATCCAAAAGGTATGTGTAATATTTAAGCATTAATATGTTTAATATTTAAAATTCTCTTCAATATTCTAATAAAACAATCAAGATAAAGAATTTAATTTTATAAAAAATAAGAAAGAAATATATTAAAATATGAGAAATAGTAATAGAAGAAAGATAAAACGAGTTAAAGTTAGTTGAACTAACGTATGGTTATAAGTTGATTTAAAAAAAAAATGTCACATCTCAATTTGATTTCAATTGAGAGAGAAATGAAATTGTTTAATTTTAAAAAAATAAAACTTAATTAAGACAAAATAAAAATATAAAATTGAAAATATGTAAAAACAAGAAATCAATTTAAAGAAATCATTTTTTATATATACTTTAATATTTTTAATTTTTATGGTATTTGTTTCCAATATTATGCATGACTTCCAAATATCTGTTGGCACTAACATTATCATGAATAATAATTCCCTTATGGTCTGACATAGGTCACTGTAGAAACAATGTTTCAAAACAATCCCTCCCTCACGGTAATTATAGGAATATTTGTGGTTGAAAAACTGGCCACCTTAAGTTTTGATGACGTTTGCTTCTTGTTTTAAGCCCCGCTTAAGGGGAAAGTATCAATTTATTTCATTAATGGCCATTATATCCTATCGTAATCTCATTAATTGTTTAATTTTTAATCTACTATAATTACTAGAATCTTCGAGGATACTTCTGGTCTAGTAAGCTATTTTTATGAACTTTGGACTTAGAAATATATGGTGGAATATAAATATTTTAGGTAACTCTTACCTACAAATTTAGTTCCGTAATGTGTTTACTTTTTTGTTTGTGTGTTTTTCAAAGTAGTTAAAAATGAAAAATAATTTTTTTGGCGGAATAGCATTTAATATGGCTTTTATTGGGATGGTTTGATTTTGGTGAGAGACAACAAATATGAGTTAATTCATTCTGGAAGCCAGCTGTTTCTAATCCTGTTTATTATTTTGAAATTTTTTATAATTTTTTGTATGAATGGACAATAAATTTTGTTTTAAAATTTTTTCCATTTGTTTCAAAATCTAAATGTAATGTCTATCAGAGATGGCAAATATTTGATTCATCATGGATAATGGGATAAATTAGGTTAACTCATTACAAGAAAACGGATTAGACTTTATAGTCTGCCGTGCAAAGGTAACTCATAAGCTGACTTATTAATTAATTTTTTTAATTATATATATATATATTAAAAGTATATTATGAATATTTTTAAGTTGTAATTAATTAATTAATTTTTAAATAAATTAATTAAAATAATTATTTTTTACGGGTTAAATTATTATATTATAATTAATAATTAAAATTTAATTTGTATGTGTTAATAATTAAAAATATAAGATTATTGTGTATATAATACATAAAAGTTAACTTTTAAATTTTTATTTTTAAAAAGTATATTGACGTCTAACTCGTTGTATAGTTCAAGACGAACTAAGAGATAAAACTTTATATCGCATAATCGTCAGTTAACTGCACAGTCACCTTCCTCACATTCTTAGTTAGTTTTCAGAAAGCGGTTCTTATTAGAGAGTCAGTGATTGATTTGTAAGTCATCTAATAGTTTATTAGAGATGCAAATTAAAAGTATTTACAAGTAAAATATGTTTATCAACTATTGAGTCAGGATTAAGTCCATATTAATTAAAAATCAATTCTAAAACCTATAAATTAAGGTAAGAGGTCACATTTATTGTCCTATTAAAAATTAATTCTAATTATCTAACTCTACTGACTTAAATATCTAAATATTTTTTAAAGGTATATATTGTATAAAAGATAATAAAGTAAAAACTTTGATTCCTATGTTAATTTGGAGATTGGTTGAAGTTTGATGTTGAACACAATTGATCTCAATCCCATTTCTAAAATAATTTCAATCTGAAATATCATATCAAGCCCATTTTGCCACTTTTAAGTTTGACTATTTTGATTCTAAATTATAAGATGATAAATAAAATCCTCTTATCATTCTGCATAGCTATTCTTAGTTGATTAATGTACAGATTAAGATCTTAATTCCTTGACCCGTTAAAGATTTTGATTTGTAAATAATAACGAATATTTAAATATTAATTAATCGAACACAAGCTAACAATATTACTTTGCGAGATAAAACATTGAAGGTCTTGCAAGTAAAACGTTTGATTTCATCTTAACGAAATCAAATTTATTGCAAAACTAAAATAAACACCAATGAAGTAATCGAAAAATGATGACTGGATAATAAAAGAAATTGTAGACGGGAACAAAGTATATAAGATGAACTTCAGAGATTAAAGAAAATATTAAAAAATGTTAATGACAACTGTAAATTTCAATTCACAAATGCACAAACTTTAGAGAAAAAATTGAAAAGGAAAGAGAAGCAAGGACTAAAATTCATAATTAAAGAAAAGTTGTAGACTGAAAATCGATTGAATTAAAAAAAAAGAGGAGGATAAAGAAGAAATAATGCCTATTGAATTAAAAACTTGTAATGTAAACTTTAGAATGTATATTGAAAAGAAAATAAAATAACTATATTTGGATCACTTATGCAGTCGTCCCAGTCATGTTTTCTTTTTTGGTACAAAATGAAAGTAAGAATTAAGAGACTATGACTCTAACATGACATGAAAAAAATACTTATAACTATAAATATTAAATGGTGAGAAATATACATTAAAAAAATACTAGGTTTTCGTTTTATCAGAATGAACATATGATTTTAATGTTTCTAATTTAGTATCACAATTTTAATCTGATCATTAGGAAGTAACTCACTCCAATTTTCATTTAAAGTCAATGCAAGTGTACTTTTATCACCATCATCCATGATGACCTAAGCATTTAATATCGTGTCAACAATCTTCAATTTCCTCATATATTTTTCGTTACCATGATTATGAATTTTAAACTTAATTTAACTTATAAAATTGATTTAAAGAGAGAATTATATACTCACTTACATATATTATATATTGATTTTATTTAAGTGAAACTTTCAACACAAACTAATATTTTAAAAGTGAAAACAATAAGATTCTTGAAAAGAGAAGGTATTAAATTTACCCAAACTATACCCATAATATTCTGAAATAAAATATTTTCTAATAATTATTATAAATCGTATAGAAATATAATAATATATATCAACATTTTTTTTTATCAAAAAGAATCCAGGCTTGCTAATTAAAATAATGACAAAAAAACATATTTACAATTTCAATCTCCAAAATCATATCTACTGATATAAAAATATAAATACAATATTATTACGTGTAGCACTTTTGTAGGGTACGACTTATTATACTATTTTTTTTTTATTCAATGAAAGATATTGTACATGTTACTATATAATGAATAGAGAGAAAAAAAAAACAAGAAATAATACTTTTTATTAACTTTCAGGAGGTTGGCCTTAGAGAATAAATAATTACTTCAAACCTGATAATTTGTTAGTTCGAAGACAGTTCTTTCCTATTGTTAATTTTTGAAATTTGAAAACACCTTAACAGTTAAAGTAAAATAAAATCCTAAGAAACTAATATGAGCGTTGGGATTCAAATTCAAAGGTGGGCCCGAAACCACTTTAAGGTTGTTACCAGGAGCCACCAGAGGAAAAATCAAAAGTAGAAAATAAAAACAAAAAATCTGTGTGTTGGGAGAAGGAAGAAGCCATGGGAACCCTCTTTGTGCAATCAAAATCAAAATCCAGCACATGGGAAGAAGACAACCGTGACAGCAGCTGCTACTTTCCTGGTTGCAAGAAAGATGCCAATTGCAATTGCGAAATGTGTTTGGCCAGCATCAATGCCACCCTCGATCTCATGCCCACCAGCGTCCATAAAAGCACCCTCACTAAGCTCTCTAAATCCAACAAAAACAACAACAAAGTTCTATGTACTCCTATCTCCTTCGATGCCTCCGTTGTGTCCACTCCCCGGTCCAGTTCTTTTCAGCTCTCATCATCCACTCCTCTCTCCAAATCAAGTTCCACATCAGACTCCACCCACGAAATGGAGAGGCAGAGCACGAGACAACAAACCTCTGCTTTCAGTTTCTCGAGACTGCTTCTCTTTTTTGGATTCCTTCTATCTGCGGACCTTGTTTTCTCCTATGTGGTCTCTGGGGTTTTCAAGCCTGCTTTGTCGCCGCATTTGGTAAAAAGGTTCGGTGAGAAATGTAGCCGAGTGAATGATTTGAATGGAAAGCTGAGGCTTTTGCACAAAGATTTGGCAAGCGTGGTTGTTGGACAAGTTTCAAATTGCAGTTTTACGGATACCTCGTCTTGGGAAATCAGCCAGGTATTTCTTACTCTTTAAAAGAAAGCTTTTTTATTCTGTTTTAGTTGATTATAGGATAAAATGAGACTACAGCTAAATAATCTAAAACACATTTTCCAATACATTTTTAAGCTGTTAATAATAGGGCAGTATTGCTTAAAAAAACCATTAACATTTTGTACAGGATGATCTGCTATTGAATTCAAGGTGTACAATGTACAAATCTCTTACAGAGGAGGTAACCATTTGGGGATGGCCTTTGCAAACAGCAGGATTGCTCACAAATGGATTCTCTACTCGAACATTCACTCTCTTATCAGGAAGAGTCACTCAGGTGAATTCTCTGTTTTTGTAGTTACCATCCCTAGACTAGGATTGCTTGATTGTTGTTGACTAACTCCTTGTCAATCTGTTTATAAAGTGGAATAGTGGACAGGGAAGCTATTTGATTTTGAAGAGAAATACTTCATGGATGCAACCAAAATGGGATGCTTCAGCAGTGCAATTAGACCCCAACACTTGGATTCTTGAATATCAAAGGAGCTCTATTATTGATGGTACAAGGTTGTATTCTGCAGCATTGGAGTTCCTCAAGTTTAGGATTTCAATAATTGTCCGCAGATTGAAGAAAGATTTCTGGCTTTCTGTAGCATTTGAAGATAACCATTATAATGGATTCACTCCAGACAAAGAGGCTCAAATCCCAACTTGACAAAGATTAGATTTTGGAGTTATAGATCTTTAATCATCAGCACCTGCCCTCATATCTTGTGAGGAGCTCCATTTTTTTTAGTTTTATTTTGTATATGTTTTTACTAGCCCAATTTACTCTGCAAAGCTATACATTTGAATAGAAGAGGATTGTCGGACAAATGCACTCTTAGAAGAAATTAAGAGAGGGTATAGCTTTTTGATCATCAAACAAACTTTTCTTTTCACTCTGTTTACAAAGAAATTTATTTAAATATGTAGTAAATCTTATTGACTTTCAGTTGGACTTCGACATTTGAGAACAAGAACAAAGTTATTATGTGGTGCGCCTCCTCTTGGACGGCTCCCTAATATAACTTCACTTTTTCCAGAACTGAAATCTAACATCCATTTCTTTGGTACCATTACATCACCCTCCTCTGTGGAGAATGGATTCTTTAAGTTTTCATTTCATTTCCCTTTCTATGCGTACACTACTGCAAATGACATTATTCTGGTGGAATGTATAGTGCATAACATTGCTCTTATGCTTAAGTCTTAATATATTTTCTGCAACAAAACCTGGTGGAGTCAGAAAATTTTTAAATACTATCTCAGCAAAAGGTTCGATTTGGTGATATCAGACCAATAATGTATATTCTCTAATATCTGATGTGTGGTGTGCATATCATTCAGGGCTCCTTCAAAACTCGTTTTATCTTCATGTCTGTTTTATTTCACTTCGCTTGCCGACAACAGTACAAGTGAAATCAGCATTCTGGTCTTATCAAGCAGCGCTATGTGCTGCAGTTACGTTTCATTGAACATCTTAAACTATTTGGTCACATATCAAGCGACCTTCTTCCAAACCCCTCCTCCATGTTTTTGAAATCAGTGCCAATGGGTGCCCAGCTGATGCTATATCAGAATTTTTATCCCTCTCATGATTTCTAACATAATTGATTGTATTATGACCGGCATCTCTTAATTATGACTTCCAATAACACAAATTAGTCGTCTCTGGACTTAGTTTGCGTTGCTGTTTATACAAATGCCACAGAATTTTTACACTTTTGGACAAGTGTTTAGTTTCAATTTTTACCCCCTCTTTCAATTGTAGTGTTGGTACTTCTACAATGCTTTTAAAGGTACCAGAAAGCAAAACCTTATGATTGCTTTAAAATGTTGGAGTTTAGAAACATAAGAAAGTTCTTCCTACCTATTTTTGGGCCTGCGATACATTGTCACCAAATATCTGCCTTTTTTGTCTTAGAAAAAGATTCATATCAAGTAATTTTGATTATTGAACCATATTTACGACAGAGATGAAGAGTAACATGATAAATAGTGAGATGTGTAATTGTTTATATAATAATTATATATATTTTATGAAAATGTTAATTTTGAACTTATGAAAAGAATTTAGATACCTAATATCCTTAATTTTCATTATTGACATGTATGTTATACGTAAATATCGTGTAAATAGTGAAAGAAATAATAATGAAGTTACAAAACTTTTAAAATATTAGTGTATAATATTTTATATATATATATATATATATATATATATATATATATATATATATGGTTAAATATATTTTTAGTCTCTAAACTATCAAGCAAATTTGTTTTTAGTCCCTCTTTCAAAGTAAGGTACATTTTAGTCCTTCTCCTTAAAGAAACCTTAATTTTATGTCCTCAAAAACTAACACCGTTAAAAGCCAGCTGAGCTGGCTAACGGTGTAATGCCACACAATTTTTTTTTCTGACATCACTCCTGCCATGAGCCACCTCTGTCATTTCCCTCCCTGCTTCTATGTTATTTTTAAACCTTTTTTCTTAAAGCAAAAATATACATAATTCATCATAACCACACATCCTCTGCACTTGGAAAAACCTAAACGATCTGCACGCTTCGCCGATTTCCTACACAATCTGAGCTCTCTTTTCACAACCCAAATTGATTTCCCTTTTCACTATAGATCTCGTATCAAACTCATATTCTAACTTTAGTCATCAAAATTGAGATTGAAATTTAGAAACCGTGAAATAGAGATAAATTGAAATAAACAAAGATAGTGAACACACCATACGCATCCTTTCTTCTCTAATCTATCTTCAAATTTCAAACGGGTAAGTAAAACACCAAAATCTCTACCTTTTCCCAAATTTGTATCTTTATAGAATTAAGGATTAAGTATATATGAAATTTCCAATTAAAAATTAAAACACCCTTTTGATATTTTATTCAATTTTCCTCAAAGCAGTGAGGAACATCTCACAGTAAAATGAATAAATGGGAAAAAACACAAGTATAGAATTAGCCAAAACATACATGATTAACTAACCCAAATGAGATCAACAGCTGAATGACAATAATTGTCCATGACCAAAAGCGTGTAAGTTAAAACTCTGATTTTTTTCCAAGTCTTTTTTCGGTTTCTCCTCTACAACCAGGTAGAACAGAAAACTTGGTAAACGAAAGTTTAGAGAGAGAAAGAGAGAGAGTAAAGCAGGAAAGGGAGGGTGTGGGGTTGACGACAAGGATTCCAATGTCCTTGGGTTTGACGCGGGTGTTGGCGAAGAGGTTATCAAGGACGTCGAACATGACCTGCTCGGCCTCTTCCCTGGCATGGTGTGGTGGGAGGAAGTCGTCGGTAAGGGTGGAGTGGTGGATGAACTTTTGGAAGTGGACGGTGAGGTGATTTTGAGGACGGTAGCAGGAGAAGTCGAGGTAGATGTAGGTAGACGACCTCTTCTCTGTCATTTCCCTCACTGCTTCTACACCCATGAACACACGTGACACACCGTCAGCCAGGTCAGCTGATTTTTAACGACGTTAGTTTTTGAGGACCAAAAATTAAAGTTTCCTTAAGGAGAAGGACTAAAATGTACCTTACTTTGAAAGAGAGACTAAAAACAAATTCGCTTGATAGTTTAGGTACTAAAAACATGTTTAACCCATATATATATATATATATATATATATATATATATATATATATATATATGATAATATCTCTTATTAATGTAATATTTATATTTTTATTGAAAAAAATTTAAATAATTTTTTAAAAAGCAATAAATATATTATGATAACATATAGATCTGTTAGAACAGGTAATCTGATTCGATCCAGTCCATCACGGGTTGTTCATTTAATGAGTCAATCCAACCCGGCTCACTTATTAGCGAGTCGAAAAATCGAACCCAAGCGTAATCCAAGACAACTAAAAAAACACAAAAGTAAACAAATAAATTTAAAAAAAAATATCATACAATCCAAGCGTAATCCAAAAACAAACACAAAAGCGAACAAATAAATTTTTAAAATTGATAATTTTTGTATCACTTGTCCATTTATAGTATTAGAATCTTGAATAGATAAATCTATAATATTTTTCTTTCTTGAAACATCTTTTTTCTTTATCCCTATCTATAATATAATAAAAAAATGTTAACTAATAATATTAAAACACAAAATAATAAATAATTAAATTAAATTAGGTGGGTTGGTGAATCGACCTAACTTATCAGAGGTTCGGATGAGCCGGATTCTAAGTAAATCAGGTTGAAAACTCGTTCACATGAAAAGAAATACATTTTTTTCAAATTTAATCCGATTAGAACTCGTGATGGATTACAATCCTTATTTACAGAAATAGTTACAAAACTCATTAAATTTAACGTAGATTCTATTTGATTTTACTTAATTTAATTTTAAGTGTATTCAATTTTACTCCATATCGTCAACTTAATTTAACATATTTAACGTTAAGTCAAAATAGATCTTTATATTGAAACAAAAGTTACAAGAAGTTATAAAAAATGATATAACATAATAAAAGTTTGAAAAACTAAATTACAACTTAAGCATATTTGCATCCGATGACATAACGTAACTAACAATGAAATTAAAAAAAAATCATAACATCATCCCATCAAAACTCGTCAACATTTAAAATATTATTTGGAAATTCACATTGAGACAAATTGCTGAATTAAAAAGAAATATACATATGGCATAAACATGTTTTATAACGTATATTTATAGATAAATCTTATTAATATAAATATGATATAATACTATATATTCAATAAAATAATTTATTAATTTTTAAAAAAATTATCGAGACACTAGCTAAAATTGTTTCTTAAGCGAATTCGTGGTAGTGGGTCAAATTGGAACATTCCATAGTTTTTATTTTATTTTTACTTAAACTTCCTCCCAATATACACTGAATCTATTTTCTTAGATTCCAATTAATCAAATTCTCTCTTCATCGGAAAGGTTTGATGAACAAGATGAGTTATACAGTGATATTTTATGCCGATTTAATTTAATCTGATATTTGATATTCCCTGTTTTAAAACAATGATGCATTATTAAATACTAATACAATATATTTTAACTATATTTTGCTTAGTATATGATATATTGGCTCATCCTATAAATATAACGAAAATAGAATCTATTTACATCTCAGAATATTTTTTTTCTGTTTGATTTTAAATTTATAGTCTTTCGAGTAAATGATTTCAGTCCTGTCTTGAAATGATTTATATTTACACTAAGTGTTGAGTTGGACAAGGACAATCTAACTTAACATAGTCACATCTATCATGGCCATTATTGTGTAATTGCCAAATATATATTTAATTTTTGTTCACATATATCCAAATTTGATTTCAGTTTCTTGTAATAACTTTGGTTGGTTAAAGTTTTTAGGGTTTTGAAAGGGAATGATTTTAATATTTACTGTTAATAGACTTCAATTATTAATCACTTTACTTATTGTATGCCAACTTACCATTACTAGCTTCATGTCTCAATTAATTGTAATCCAACCTATCATGATTGCCCCACCCATAACTCTCCCATCACACTTCTTGAGCCTAATTAACTTTCTCGATTCTTCATGACTCCTTTAGTACTTAAAATAATAAAGTAGAGTTGTCAAAACAGGTCATTCGGTCCGATCCGATCTGACTCACCACGGGTTAATCATTTAGTGAATCAATCCAACCTGACTCATTTTTTAGCGAGTCAAAAAAATTCGAACTCGGCCGACCCACCACAGGTTAGTAGATAAATGGATTAGCTCACTAGCTCACTTAATTACAATTTGTTTAAAATAAAAAAAAATTATAAACTTTCTATAATTCAAATCTAAACAAATTTCACCTCCCAATATGAGTGTTTAATTAATTTTGAAAATAAGAAATTTGAATAATTTTTTCAAGCAAAAAAGAATAATAAATATTTTTTTATAAAATTAAAATTAAATCTTATTAAAATAAAATGAAGTAGGTGGGTTGGTGGGCCAACCCGGCCCACCACGGGTTCAACCCGCATGAGTCGGGTTTAAATGAACCAGGTTGAGATCTCACCCGCATAAAAAAATACATTTTTTT